CCGACGGACGACGACGGTCTTCTCTGCTGGCATTACATAATCCTGGGCGTATCTATCCTCTCCAACAACTGGAGATATGCTTTTATCTATGAGGGTCGGGCGGTCTCTCTTCAGCGGATCCCTGGATGATGAAGCTTTCTACACGGATTTGGCCAGCGTATCTATCCTCTCCCAGCCCTGGTCGGCATTCTGCTCTTATGAGTCCGTTGGTTCCGCCTCACGCTTCACACCATCAGCTCAATTTCAGTGCGCTGCACCATCTGCGTCCTGCGTCGCATTGCACTCCAGCACCAGCCCCTTCTGCCAGACTTGGCTTGGCGACGGGATTGACTGTCTCATTACCGAATCCTGGGATTTTTATTGCACCCGACTTGGTCTCCAACTCAATTACACCATCCACATCCTTTCACAACTCATCGGTCGTCAACGAAGCCGCGTCAGCCCCCCTAATTGAGCAGATAGTGGAAGAAACATGCTGGATTAGCCCAGCCGTACAGCAACTGGGTAGCCTCCGGCTTTTCAGGTACAGTCCAATGCAGTTCCGTTTAATTAGCCCTTATTGAATCTGTCTTATTATTTTAGTGCTCCGAGGATTCTATTCAAGGCGCATGTTCTTCAGTTAGAATCATGTGAGCCGGCCGTAGTTACTTCTGTGCTATGAGGGCAGTCTCGCAGCACTTCTGTGACTTCGGTCTCTGAAGAGGTCTTCTCTGCTTCTGCTCAAGACAGTTCGTCCAGTTCGGCAGTTTACAATAAAGTCTAGCAAACTTTCATTCGGATGGCAGACCTGCGTGGACCGAGTGCTCAGTCAGTCGTCCGTCGGTACGTTCTGCCAGCAACAAAGACCACCGAAGAAGCTCCTCAGCCTCTGTTGCCATGGTCTACGTGCCTAAAAGAAGGAGAAGAAAAGAAGAAAAAGAATGAGCACCTTTCTGAATGGCACGGTCTTCTCCAAATCTCTGAATACAGCCTACACCAGCTTTACGCAGTATCACTTACTCTGGATGGTGCAGCGGACTTTGCCAGCAGTACGCCTGTAAGGAAATAACACAGATGACTGTGCTAACTGTGAAAAATCTGTCTTAAGGAAGCCATGTGCAGACCTTGGGGAGGGACACAATGACTTCGAGAATGCGATTGAATGGAACTCACCTTCGACGATGGCATTCAAAGGCCGATTTGTTTCAACGTGATCTCCAGCGGCTTGAACTTCCCGGAGCCTCTCTTCTCCAAGCTCTTCCGTAGGAGCCTCCC